CATCTTGGATTATGGATTGGCTTCATAGTAACAATACTTGGTCAACACCTCATAAGGAACATTCATGCCATGTTTGGTTTCATTCCATTTAGTGGTTCTCTAAAAGAAGACATTTGTATGTATTTCCCATAGGGTCCTATGTTAAACTAAGTCCCCCGCTGACGGCCATCTTGGATGATGGATCAGCTTCAAAGTAACAACACTTGGGAAGCACCTCATAAGGAACATTCATGCCATGTTTGGTTTCATTCCATTCAGTGGTTCTCTAAAAGAAGACATTTTATGTATTTCCCGTAGGGTCCTATGTTAAACTAAGTCCCCCGCTGGCGGCCATCTTGAATGATGGATCAGCTTCAAAGTAACAACACTTGGTCAACACCTCATAAGGAACATTCATGTCATGTTTGGTTTAATTCCATTCAGTGGTTCTCTAAAAGAAGACATTTGCATGTATTTCCCATAGGGTCCTATGTTAAATTAAGTCCCCTGCTGGCGGCCATCTTGGATTATGGATCGGCTTCATAGTAACAACACTTGGTCAGCACCTCATAAGAACATTCATGCCATGTTTGGTTTCATTTCATTCAGTGGTTCTCTAAAAGAAGACATTTGTATGTATTTCCCATAGGGTCCCATGTTAAACTAAGTCCCCTGCTGGCGGCCATCTTGGATTATGGATCGGCTTCAAAGTAACAACACTCGGTCAGCATCTCATAAGGAACATTCATGCCATGTTTGGTTTCATTCCATTCAGTGGTTCTCTAAAAGAAGACATTTGTATGTATTTCTCATAGGGTCCCATGTTAAACTAAGTCCCCTGCTGGCGGCCATCTAGTTATGGATCGGCTTCAAAGTAACAACACTCGATCAGCACCTCATAAGAAACATTCATGCCATGTTTGGTTTCATTCCATTTAGTGGTTCTCTAAAAGAAGACATTTGTATGTATTTCCCATAGGGTCCTATGTTAAACTAAGTCCCCCGCTGGTGGCCATCTTGGATTATGGATTGGCTTCATAGTAACAACACTTGGTCAACACCTCATAAGGAACATTCATGCCATGTTTGGTTTCATTCCATTCAGTGGTTCTCTAAAAGAAGACATTTGTATGTATTTCCCATAGGGTCCTATGTTAAACTAAGTCCCCCGCTGACGGCCATCTTGGATGATGGATCGGCTTCAAAGTAACAACACTTGGGAAGCACCTCATAAGGAACATTTATGCCATGTTTGGTTTCATTCCATTCAGTGGTTCTCTAAAAGAAGACATTTTATGTATTTCCCATAGGGTCCTATGTTAAACTTAGTCCCCCGCTGGCGGCCATCTTTAGATGATGGATCGGCTTCAAAGTAACAACACTTGATCAGCACCTCATAGGGAACATTCATGCCATGTTTGGTTTCATTCACTTCAGTGGTTCTCTAAAAGAAGACATTTGTATGTATTTCCCATAGGGTCCTATGTTAAACTAAGTCCCCCGCTGGTGGCCATCTTGGATTATGGATTGGCTTCATAGTAACAATACTTGGTCAACACCTCATAAGGAACATTCATGCCATGTTTGGTTTCATTCCATTTAGTGGTTCTCTAAAAGAAGACATTTGTATGTATTTCCCATAGGGTCCTATGTTAAACTAAGTCCCCCGCTGACGGCCATCTTGGATGATGGATCAGCTTCAAAGTAACAACACTTGGGAAGCACCTCATAAGGAACATTCATGCCATGTTTGGTTTCATTCCATTCAGTGGTTCTCTAAAAGAAGACATTTTATGTTTTTCCCGTAGGGTCCTATGTTAAACTAAGTCCCCCGCTGGCGGCCATCTTGAATGATGGATCAGCTTCAAAGTAACAACACTTGGTCAACACCTCATAAGGAACATTCATGTCATGTTTGGTTTAATTCCATTCAGTGGTTCTCTAAAAGAAGACATTTGCATGTATTTCCCATAGGGTCCTATGTTAAATTAAGTCCCCTGCTGGCGGCCATCTTGGATTATGGATCGGCTTCATAGTAACAACACTTGGTCAGCACCTCATAAGAACATTCATGCCATGTTTGGTTTCATTTCATTCAGTGGTTCTCTAAAAGAAGACATTTGTATGTATTTCCCATAGGGTCCCATGTTAAACTAAGTCCCCTGCTGGCGGCCATCTTGGATTATGGATCGGCTTCAAAGTAACAACACTCGGTCAGCATCTCATAAGGAACATTCATGCCATGTTTGGTTTCATTCCATTCAGTGGTTCTCTAAAAGAAGACATTTGTATGTATTTCTCATAGGGTCCCATGTTAAACTAAGTCCCCTGCTGGCGGCCATCTAGTTATGGATCGGCTTCAAAGTAACAACACTCGATCAGCACCTCATAAGAAACATTCATGCCATGTTTGGTTTCATTCCATTTAGTGGTTCTCTAAAAGAAGACATTTGTATGTATTTCCCATAGGGTCCTATGTTAAACTAAGTCCCCCGCTGGTGGCCATCTTGGATTATGGATTGGCTTCATAGTAACAACACTTGGTCAACACCTCATAAGGAACATTCATGCCATGTTTGGTTTCATTCCATTCAGTGGTTCTCTAAAAGAAGACATTTGTATGTATTTCCCATAGGGTCCTATGTTAAACTAAGTCCCCCGCTGACGGCCATCTTGGATGATGGATCGGCTTCAAAGTAACAACACTTGGGAAGCACCTCATAAGGAACATTTATGCCATGTTTGGTTTCATTCCATTCAGTGGTTCTCTAAAAGAAGACATTTTATGTATTTCCCATAGGGTCCTATGTTAAACTTAGTCCCCCGCTGGCGGCCATCTTTAGATGATGGATCGGCTTCAAAGTAACAACACTTGATCAGCACCTCATAGGGAACATTCATGCCATGTTTGGTTTCATTCACTTCAGTGGTTCTCTAAAAGAAGACATTTGTATGTATTTCCCATAGGGTCCTATGTTAAACTAAGTCCCCCTCGCTGGCGGCCATCTTGGATGATGGATCGGCTTCAAAGTAACAACACTTGGTCAGCACCTCATAAGGAACATTCATGCCATGTTTGGTTCCATTCCATTCAGTGGTTCTCTAGAAGAAGTTCAAAATGTAAAAAGTTAATGACGACGACGGACAACGGACGCCAAGTGATGAGAAAAGCTCACTTGGCCCTTCGGGCCAGGTGAGCTAAAAAGGTAGATATCAAAACATTTAAACATGAGAAATTATAATACTAACGATAGTGATTATTTTTTCAGGCCTAGCTGTACTTTTGTTTTATAAAATAATGCAGATGCTCTTTTACAAACTTGAAACCAACCATGTGTAAACATCGGTGTCAAGATATAGCACGGAAGTTATGAAATTGTAAAGCACAGAAAGGGATACGGCAACACTCCTGGTGACGGTTCAATGATTTTACAGCCGGCAGTATAGGATTTCAGAAGACTTCAGTCTTCTTCCACCAAAAATCTCAAAATCAACGAAAAAAATAACAATATAAGGGTAGACAAAAGAAACTTATCATTAGTTTAGGGAAGTTTGTATTTCACTCAAATATAAAGGGTACATGTATATCTTTTAATAATTTAATTTTGGATGTAACACGTCTTCTGATTGGCTGAAAGGGTTTTATCTATCAGCTCATAGACATAATTTTGTCATGTGACCTTGATGTCATCAACGTTTTTATCATGATTTACTCCTTTTTAGAATTAAATTATAAGGAATGACTGTAATATTTTTTCTGTCTATTCGAAATAACATAAAAATGTGGTGCACACTTTTAAATAACCCGCTACGCGGGTTATTCAGTGTGCACCACATTTTTGATGTTATTTCTTCATAGACAGAAAAATATTGCAGTCATTCCTTAAACATTTTTTACCTTTGTTGATTGTTTCCATAAAGAGGCTGTCACATATCAAAGCAATCTCTAACTATCTGTAGCTAACACTTTGTACAAACAAGAATGTGTTTCCATAAGACACCATGCCCACACAAATTATCGTTTTCAGTTGCCCATGAACTTTGGGTCAAATATCTAATATACTACATTTGTACTATATATTTTTTAAAAGTTCACATCATTATGAACATCTGTACTCAGTTTCAAGTTCATTCATGAGATATAAAAAAGCAATTCACATAAGTGAACAATTTGTTTATTTTTTGTCGAATCTCAGAATCAATTAGCATTCATTTATCTAAATAAATATAAACAATATTCAAAATGAGAAAACATTAATTTATTTGCAGGGCTTTTCATCTGCTGAATATCAAAGGAGTAGGTCCAGTAAGACCCCTTTTTGGCCCCAAAATATAGCAGTTTTACAAAATTGTTAAAATGTAAACTTTTAGCTATTTATTGGAAAGTAGAATACTTCTGCTGCATATGGGCTTGTTTTGACAAAACAATGCACATATATCGGGTACTAGCATCATTAAGTCATGCTAAATCATGAAATCTTCACAATTTTAGCATTTGAGTTAAATTTTATACTGTTTTCGTCTTTAATGGAAGTGGCCGCATTTGTGTTCATTCTTAATATTTAAATGTAAGTTGTATTTGATGATAATACATAACATATATAAAGATTGAGAGTGAACACGGATGCGGCCACTTTCATTTTTGACAAAAACCATCTGAAAAGTGACAAATTATGGCATATTTGATAGATTTGTCATATTTAAGTTTGTATTTGAGCGTATTTAATGACTAAATCAGTTCAAATCTTTCACATAAACTAATTGAATAGACTGAAGTAGACACTTAAGTGTTTAAAAAGTGTCCAAAATCTTTCATCAGAAGAACCTGAAATTTGAGGCCAAAATCGGCCCTTATCGGACCTACTCCTTTGAAAGAATCAAATGTGGATCTATTTCAATAAGGCAAATAAAAGACCAAAACAAATTTAAATCTGTCTATAAAGGATAAATATAGATAGATCGATATATGACACAGTTCATCAAATATTCAAAGACATTTAAATGTGTACTGTTTACCTGGATCAGGTATAAATAGGACATGAGGTATGCCCACATTAAGTGGAAAAAAGTATTTATTATTTGTAATGCTGTAGTGACTTTAACAAAACAAAAGGTATGCATATTTGAAAAAATACAACTTTCATATTTTATTTCAACTATATATGTAAAGATTCACTGAATGATTTTACAGGACTTAGATTTGTACAAAACTGCAGGATTTTGAGTTGTTTCTTTTATTTATTTTTGAAAAAAAAACTCATTACCACACCATGAATGAGTTCTAGAATCAAAGTGTGATTGCCCCGAGATTAAGGAACTTTTTTTATACATAAAAAATGTTTCAGGGTTCTACTGACCCTGTGCCTTACCACAGTCGCCTGCATTTCTAGCAATAAATGATTAAAAATAGGTTAAAATAAATTGGGAATGTGTCTATGGATGATGCCCCCGCTTGCATACAACCTTATAAAGGGACAAAACTCAAGAACGGTAAAAGTGATGCTACCCAAATTTGTACTTGATCCGATTTTTGTGGTAATAAGCATTGTGTATAAGTTTCATAACATTTGGTTGATGCAAAGTTAAGTTACAACAGCATTTGTAAAGGGGCATAACTCTAGAACAGTAAAAGTGACACCACCAAAATTCAAACTTGATCTGTGTTTTGTGGTAATAAGCATTAATGGTAATAATTTTTGGGGCCCTTTATAGCTTGCTGTTTTCGGTGTGAGCCAAGGCTTCGTGTTGAAGACCATACTTTGACCTATAATGGTTTACTTTTATAAATTTTGACTTGGATGGAGAGTTGTTTCATTGGCACTCATACCACATCTTCTTATATCTATTGTGTATAAGTTTCATAACATTTGGTTGAGGCAAACTAAAGTTAAAGAACGGAAACCAATTTCGTGACGTACAGATGGATGTATGGACGGACAAGGGTAAAACTTAATGCCCCCTCCGCTACGACGGGTGCAAAAAAAAAATAACAACTACAGTATTGTACTATATACATTATTTTTTTTAACTTTTATTCTAATCATTTATTGCTAGTTTAATTTAGGTGGAAAAGTGTTGTGTTGGATACTAAAAAAAAATGGTTTAATGATCTAAAAATAAACTTGCCCATGGAGCTATCTCTTGATTATGAAGAACCTTTGTCCAAGCTTTGTGAAATACAAAAAAATGGTGACAAATTCATTGATGTCTAAAAACATTTAAACCCAGGCTGTACAGTATCTAAATTTATATTACTGCAAAAGGGAAAAAATTAAGTCTATTTTATCAGTAAAATACAAAAGAAAAAAACATTAAAAAAAATTCTCTGAATGCTGTCACTTATTGAAGAAACTTTAGTCCAACCTTGCTCAATAATTTATATTTTGTATATGTTAAGGTAATGACATCCAGTAAACCTATACGATGTGCACCGTACCAAGAAGGAAAAGTAAACAACAGGACAATCAATATAGAGACAAAGATAGAGATCAATGTGAGGAAGAAACCTATCAGTGACATGATATGTCTGATGGATGGAAGAATTCTTGTTGTAGAATGGTATGGTAAAGTGTACCAACTTACTTCTAATGGCGAACTAGACAAACAGTTCAAAATACCTGGTGAAGCCTCTAATGTCACACAGATCAATCAGGACACTATTGCCATAAATTATCCTAGTGAGAAAGTTATTAAGATCTTCAATATGAAAAATAAAAGAGTAACTAAAGTTATCAAACTAGACAGTCCATGCTGGGGTTTATCATTCTCCAATAATTCTCTAGCTATTAGTTTGTTCACTGGTGAAATCCGTATTATAGACTTGGAAGGAAATATACTAAGGTCAATAGTAAAAGGGTGTGACTCAACTCGCGATTTCCTTGTTTACTGCAATGACAGAATAACATACAGTGACCATTATGGCAAATCAGTACACTGCATTGATGGATCAGGTAAACAAATCTGGCGATATACACAGGATTTAGAAGGGCCAAAAGCACTTTGTACAGATAATTACTGTAACATTATTGTGGCAGACTATGAATCTGATAGAATAATAGTAATATCAAAAGATGGACAGAATAGTAAAGTACTAATTAAAAAAGAAGATGGACTGAAGAATCCTCATCATATTTGTTTTAATTGTCATTGCTGGGGTTCATACTTGGCAGAATTTGATATTACTTATGAATAAATTGTATAACCATATAAATTCTTATGATATAACTTGCCGTTTTTATTTCAACTCTGTAAATATTATGTTATTATCAGTCAATGAGTGCTACGTCAGCAAAAATTATGTATGGACACTCGACTTTTAAAAAAATTCTCAAATATTGAAGCAATAAACAGATGTTCAGACAAGTTCAAGGTCAGTAACTTCAGGTTCAATTTCATTGACTGATATTTTATTTACTTATTTATAAGCAGCTTTCAAGATAATTTCAAAAACAGCTCCTACAAGAAGTCTATCCACAAATTCAGTAACATTTACCTATTTTTTTTTTTCGATTGGCCAAGTAGTTTCAGAGGAGAAGATTTTTGTTTAAGTAAATAGATGACAGGAGTCAAGCAATGACAAAAGCTCACATTGGTCCTTGGAGTCAGGTGTATTAAAAAACATCAAAATCTGATGAAAAACAAAGGCTGTACATTTATACTTATAAAAACACTGTATTGAGTCCAATTGTTTATTCTTTTTACAAAAAATAAATGAATTAATTGTGAAAAAACATAATGTCTTTAGATAAATATCAACAAACCCAACACACTAATATGACTGCTAAAAACTTTTAAAAGTTGAAATTGTGTTCCTGACACCTGCATTCCATATAGTTTTAAATGAAATAAATCCTTACCTATCATTGTGGTGTTTTCACTGCCTTTAAACACAATCTTCATAGACCTTGGCGCAAATACAATATTTTGTATGAATTCTACATACTTCACCAGGGCTGCTGCTGCTGCCAAACAATAGTACCTACAAACACAAAGTGTTTGCCAAATTTGCAGTAATTTATGGTAAAATAAATCACCAATGAAATAGAACAAACCTGAAGAGGTAATAATTCAAGTCAGAGGCAGATTTATGGGGGGAGGGGGTATCCAGGGGGCCCGTGCCCCCCCTTTTGTGAGAAAAATTTGGTTGATTATAAAGGGAATCACTGAAGCATGACTGGAGCGGGCCCCCTCTTAGGCAATCAGTGGGCCCCCTTTTATGAAAATTTCTGGATCCTCCACTGCAAGTGATAATACATATAACATGATTATGATTTAAAAGAGTTTACATACTAAAATGCCTCGCTTGGTTTACTGTTTATGGTATAATTTCATTTAAGTCTTTAAGATGAAGGTTAACCACAGGTATCACATAAACTTAACATCATTATCAATGATCCATGAAAAAGAGGTCAAGATCAGATGAACCCTGCAAAAGGGACATGTATAACTTAGGATCATTTCATACAGCAATTATAGTTGACCTATTGCTTGTAGGATCTAAGAAATAGGTAGAACTTATCACAAAAAAACTAAATATTGATCACTGATGACTGAAATGAGGTCAAAGTAAGATGAACCCAGTCTGATATACAGGTACACTACAATGATTGCATACATCAAATATAGTTTACATAGTGCTTAATGGATCTGAGAAAAGGACCTAATCACATAAAACTTAAAATTAACCATGAAAATCGGTCAAGGTCAGATGAATCATGCCAGACAGACATGTAGACCTTAAAATCATCCATACACAAAATATTGTTGATCTAATATTTAAGGTATCTGAGAAACAGAACTAACTAGATATCATTGAGATGGGAGCCATCTCTGTGGGCCCCGCTGTGAATAATGTGTGGTAAAAAATTTGTATCTTTATCATTGGACATGGGGTTGTCAACTGAAACCAAAGTTTTTGACCTTGACCTTTGACCTAGGAAGTTGTACATAAATTATGACACACCCTCTGGTTTTGGTTTATATACATGTCAAGTATAAACTTTGAAATCATAACGGTTCTCAAGATATAGAGCGGACACGATCTTTACCATAGGACATGGGGTTGTCAACTAAAACCAAAGTTTTTGACCTTGACCTTTGACCTAGGAAGTTGTACATACATTATGACACACCCTCTGGTGTTGGTTAATATACATGTCAAGTATAAACTTTGAAATCATCAGACCTGCCAACTATCCCGATTTTGGCGGTATTATCCCGATTTTCATGCCTCAACCCGAATCCCGATATCGAGTTCCTAAAACAAGCAAAAAACCCAATTTTCATAAATTCTACCCGAGAAAATGTTATTCTTACCGATTTCCGGTAATGGAGGACAACATAGAGATATTATCCAATCAAATTCATCGTAGTATCTGATATTCGGGTCATGTTGATTTACCTGAGGATTATCGATCTGTTTTGACACTAAGTATTATGTAAACATATACACGTGCCTCAATAAAATCAATGATTTGTCAAAGTTTTATGGGTCTTAATTGGTAATAAAATTATTGATCTTTGTTATTTATACGGATCAGCTTGGGAGTTACATAATTAACTGTTTTAATTTTTTTACTTATCATTTAATTGAGATTAATTATATTATAATCAAGTTAACTAGTTAAAAAAATTCTTTAATCAGGTGAACATAGTTAATAATTATCTTAATTATAACTGATCAAAGGAATTTTGCAAATTAAACGTAAAGGCTTGGATGCTGTTTGCACATTGAGACAATTGTTATAAAAGGATATGAAAGATGGAATTGAATCATAACAGTTCAAACTATCACAATGGTTGTTACTCCACCCAGCAAGAAGAAACGTTTGCCATGCCGTTTTCTTGAAAAATGGCAGAATGACCTGAAGTTTTCAGGATGGTTGACCAAGTCCAACACAGGAGACTCCCATGCTTACTGCAAATTATGGAATAAAGACTTCAGAATAGACCACGGTGGCCTTAATGATGTTAATAAACACACCAACACAGCAATGCACATTAAGAACCTACAAGCACAGAACAGTACCAAGTCTGCCTCCAACTTCTTCACCCGCCCAGATGATGATGGTGTGACAAAAGCAGAAGTCGTCTTCGCCTACTCTATAGCAGAACACAACATACCCTTCTCTTATGCAGACCATTTCACCAAACTTTGCAAAGTGATGTTTCCAGACAGCAAGATCGCAACCAAATTTGCTTGTGGCAGAACCAAGGCTACTCAGATCGTCAAAAGATCCCTGGCACCTGCACTTCAGCAAGATGTCATCACCAACCTTAGAACCCAACCATTCTCACTTGCAATAGATGAAAGCAACGATAGAAACACTGACAAATGCCTGGCCATCTTAGTGAGGTACTTCACTTCAGACAGTGCTAAGACCAGATTCTTAACTATGCCAATCTGCAACATAGGAATTTCACAGAACATCTTTGATCAACTACAGCAAACTTTTGCCAACTACACAATACCTTGGACCAACGTACTCAGCTTCATGTCAGGCAACTGCAGTGTGATGATGGGAAAGAATAACTCTGTGATGACCCGCATCAAAGAACAGTCACCTGACGTTTTTGACTTTGGTTGTGTATGCCACTTAGCCAACCTTTGTGCAGTAGCCGGTGTTAAAGCTCTACCAGTATCCATCGATGACATGCTTGTAGACATCTACTACCACTTCCACCATAGTTCCAAGCGAAAAGAACAGTACAAAGAGTTCCTAGACTTCTGTGACGTAGAACCAAGCAAGCTACTCAAACACGCAACTACAAGATGGCTCAGTTTGGAAACCTGTGTTGACCGCACTCTTCATCACTGGCCAGCTCTCACCAGTTACTTCAACTCCCACTGTGAGGTAGAGAAACCCGGACGTATTCAGAGAGTAGCAACTCAACTCAGTGACCATGAGATCCACCTTTACTTCTACTTCCTCAGCTTTATCTTGGGACCACTCAACAACTTCAACACCATCTTCCAAGCTTCAGAGGCACGTATTGGTTACCTGGCAGCAGAGATGAAGACCCTTCTACGTACCTTCCTGGGAAAATTCGTCAAAGCCAAACTCATTCACACTACTCAAGATCTGACAACCATAGATTACAGCAATCCTGACAACCAACTACCAAACAGTATTCTCAGTATTGGACCCAACGCAAGAGGCTACCTGTATGACCACTCAGATGATATATCTCCAACAGTACTTCAGAGACTTTTTAGGTATTTATAACATTTTTTACTATAAATTATAAGCACTTGGGGTATATGTCAATGAGATATAAAGTCAAGTACTTGCCACAGGACATTCAGCAATTATGCAAAACAATGAGACAATTATTTCTATAACTTTATTAGCAGTTGTGGTATGTGTCAATGAGATAAAATGTTAATGAGTTAACTGTCCTGAACATGCATGAAGTATTTGCCACTGGACAAAACAATCTAATAGATAAAATATGATTTGTACTCTTTGGCTTAAGTGTGCTGTTATAGTCTTAGATATTTATTATTTTATTTCTTTTTCAGCTCAGTTCGTCAATTCTATTGTGCAGTAGTAAAGAAGATGTTGACCAAGTTTCCTTTCAATGATCCAGTTGTTTCATGTTTGGCTTTCCTCAACCCAGCAGAGAGAGGTAATCTAGACTTCAATGACACACTGAAGATTGTCAAGAGATTTCCAGTACTTGTACCATCTACCCAGTTTGCAGCATTGGAAGAAGAGTTCATTGACTACCAGGTGACACCAGCTGATGAGCTACCCAAGTTTGACTCAGATACCAGAGTAGACTCCTACTGGGCTGCAGTTTCAGCAATGACAAACAAGATCACAGGAACAGCAAGATTTCCACTACTAACAAGAGTTACCAGAGCAATGTGTTGTATACCCAACTCCAATGCAGATTATGAGAGAGTCTTCAGTATGGTCAAGAAGATACACACAGAACACAGGTCATCACTGGACAACTCAACACTCTGTGACCTACTTACCACTAAGATCAACTCAGACTGTGCATGCTACCAGCTAAAACCAGACAAAGACTTGTTGAAGACAGCAAAGAAAGCATGTGTTGCTTACAACAAAGACTGTGGAAATTAGTGCCAAATGACAATTTTATAGTGCTGACAATTTTAAGTGATGATAATGTAACTTAGTGCTTTCTACTTAGTGCAAAATGAACATTAGTAGCTTTTATGTTTTTTTGCTCCTTGTGTATTATTGTTTTGTATTGTTTTTATTTCCTTTAAATGCTACTGAATAAATATGACATTTACCTTGTTTATCTTTTCATGACATAGTTTGCAATGTATGCATTAATGAAGCAACCAAGTCATTGTTTATCAATTTATTTTAAATAGATACAGTGAAAATACAAATAAAACACTGAAATAAAACAAATATAACACTGAAATAAAACAAATAAAACAAATGAACCAAATGAAAGAAACATCTTTACACAGAATGATACACACAGCATCAAAACAATCTCAAGAGTTCAAGAAACAAACCAAAATTGATCCTAAATATACATGAAATACTTTCTACTGGACATTATAAAAAAAAACAGTCACAAGATGAAGCGATACATTTAAATTTTTTTCCCCGGGGAAAATCCCCCATGGAGGTTTTCAAAAGTTGGCAGGTCTGAATCATAACGGTTCTCTAGATATAGAGCGGACACAATTTGTTACGAACAGATGGACGGACGGACGGACAGACAAACGGACAGACTGATCACTATAGGGCGTCCGCCTAATTAAATACACTTAACCTTGACCAGTGAACAATAAAAAAATTCTTTATCATCAATTTATATACATACTTGGAAGTGACCTCCATTTCAATTGTACTAAACTCTGGTACACACAGCTGTTTCACATACTGTATTCCTACAAGTACAAACAAACCTGTCTACAGTGAACTTTATTATACAAACAAACCTGTCTACAGTGAACTCTGATATAAAGAAACCTGTCTACAGTAAACTATATGATATAAAGAAACCTGTCTACAGTGAACTCTATGATATAATGAAACCTGTCTACAGTGAACTAGATGATGCAAAGAACCAGTGTCTTCAGCAAATGCTGACAACTTAAATCTATGACATTTACAAAATAACTACAAGAAGTATGCCTAAGTAAACAACACATACATAGTACATTTTACCAGTAATTTGTGTATTAACAAATCTATGTATACACTGTAAATTCCTAAACTTTCTGTGTGCATGTTTTATGGCGATTGTTAAATAACGGATAAAAATGTGAGATTGATTATTACAATTTTCAAGAAATATTATATACATATATAATGCTATCAGAATTTAAAAAAAATTCAATTTTCATGAGCCATTTATTTTTTACAACTTTCACTAGTAGAAACATGTCGTGAATATAAATCATCACAAACAAGTATTCACATTATTTTGAAATCAATATTGTTGTTTCCAAATATTATTTAAAAAAGTGCATAAGTTTACCATTATAATGACATGTTATTGTACTTGTATCCTTGTTATGATCAGGGTGGTCTGTTTTTACATGTATGGTTGACTATTTATATAATAATCATATTTATACAATTTTCTTTACAAAATTTTAAAGTGCTTGTCTGGCATCATATTTTTTTCAGAATAGATAAATATACAATGTATACTAAATATGTACTGCAAAGATTACCTCTTGCTTCATTAAAATATTTCCTTTGAACAGCTGATAGACTTGTGTTGACAAACTGGTCATTAACAAGAGTAAATAGTTTTGTCATCGTACCACTTTCACATGCTGTGTTAGGCATTATTACCTAAAACAGAAAAAAATGCTTCTTTCAGAACTAGTACATCGATAGAGCTCTTCAAGATTTGTTTTAAAATTGACAATTAACACAAATTGGGAATTTTTATCAACAAAGAATACCATGCACTCTGTATTGGGTAAAGCTACTGCATTTAAACTAATTACCAGACATGCATGAATTTCTTTTACATTCTTTTCAACACTGGAAACAAAAGTGGAAGGATCGAAAACTCATAAAAATAGTTTATATCTGACAACATACTATTGCCTGCACAAAATCAGAGGTTTTGTTGGTGGCTGTCTTTAATGCTTGATGGTGGATCTTGTCTCTAGGCAAGATATTAGTCATCTCTTAAGACTGAGATTATTCACTAGTCTAGATTCAGATCAGCCATACTGTTTGGGCAATTGTCCATCATTAAAATCCTAAAGGGATCTACAGAATAAAATTGAGAATGGAAATGGGGAATGTGTCAAAGAGACAACAACCCGACCAAAGAGCAGTAAACAGCCCAAGGCCACCAATGGGTCTTCAACACAGCTGTCCCCTAAACAAAAATGTGCACTAGTTCAGTGAAAATGGACGTCACACTAAACTCCAAAACATATAAATGAACTAAAATTAAAAACATACAAGACTAACAAAGGCCAGAGGCTCCTGACTTTGGACAGGCACAAAAATGTGGCAGGGTTAAACATGTTTTGTGAGATGTCAACCCTCCCCCTATACCTCTAGCCAATGTAGAATAAACAAACACACAGCAATATGCACAGTAAAACTCAGTTTAAAAGAAGTTCGAGTCCGATGTCAGAATAGGTAACAAAAGAAACTAAGCAAAATGACAATGATACATAAATTAGCAAAGGACTACTAGCAGTTACTGACATGCCAGCTCCAGACCTCAATTCAACTGATTGAAAGATTATGTCTTCATCATATGAAAATCAAGCACAATCCCTCCCGTTAGGAGTTTAGTATCATACCATCATAAAATATATGAGAAGAACATAACCTGTATCATGCCAACAACTGGTTTTAGAATAAATGTGTTTATTTCCGATGCAAAGACCCTATGAGTGAATCAATATTAATACCAAAATATGCCATCTTTAATGATCTGACAACAGTATCGTAACTATATCCCTTCTAAATAAGTCTGTTTAAAGGTTTGGTTAGCTTTTGAGGTGAATGCAGACATTTTTGTGCTTTGTATAGAATATTACCATAAAAGATTGGATGTGATATACCTGAACATATAAGATGTCTGCATGTTGATTTATATTTACAAATGATGTCCTTGTACCAATGATAAAATTTAGTAAACTTTTTGACTAGTTTGTGATATCGAAATCCCTGGTGTAATAATTTTTCAGTAACACAGAGAATTCTTTCGTTAAAATCAAATACGTTGTTACATACACGAGCGAATCGAACAAGTTGAGATATATAAACACCATAAGATGGTGACAAGGGAACTTTTGGTATTAAGCTTCCCGTTAAAGATATAGATAATTAGATATCAAGATCCATGAAAGGGCAGTGGTTATTGTTAGTATTAGCTTTATTTAAAGTCAGTTCAGCAGGATAAATCTCTTTAGTGTACATTCTGAAGTCATTATTGAGAGCCAATATATCATCCAAATATCTAAAAGTGTTTTTATATTTTTGTATCAGATGTTGTTTGGATGGGTCTTTGCTGATTTTAGTCATAAATTGTAACTCATAACAATACAGAAACAGGTCCGCAATAAGTGGTGCACAGTTAGTCCCCATTGGAATTCTGATAACTTGATGATATACAGAATCTCCATAGCGAACAATAATGTTATCTAGTAAAAATTCAAGGGCAGTTATCGTATCAAAGCAGGTCCAATTGACATAGTTCTTGTGTTTGTTGTTACTTAAAAATGACTACTTTTATTGAAGTTTTTTTCATTGGGCTGCCCGCTCTCTAATGTTTTCAAACAGCTTTTTTCTTATATTCATTATCACGATTATTTCTTTTGTTTTAAATGTTTTTGAAATTAAATATTAATGAATTCAAACTCAACGGAGCAAACAACAATCAATCAATCACAATCTAACATAGATATCCTTACAGAGGCATCATGCATCAAATCAGAAACCTGGAGGCCAAAGTATTTACCGCATGACATGGATATTACTGTAAACCAACTAATTTTCGCGAACGATTTATTTTCGTCGCGAATATGTAAAACTTGGATCTTTCCTTATTTAACTACGTTAAGTTAATTTGAAAATCGTGAAATTAAATCGCCGCGAAATAGACTAGAAAGGGATAAACGCGAAATAAAGTATCCGCGAAAATAAGTTTGTTTACAGTATTCATTATGTAAAATAAATTAACAACAAACCTGTTTACACAGTCATGTCAGTACTCATCTGGAACTAAAACGTTTCTCTGACCATTAAAAGATAAAATTCACAATGTGTGTGGATATTATAAAAATGCTTATTTACCGTAGTGAGCAGGAGCTGTTGAACCTTCTAATTCTAGAGTACCTGAGTTCATCCCTTGTTTAAGGTGGGTTTGATGTTGATTAATTCTTAGTTTTTGGAGTAGTGTCACATTTGTGGACTGTTATTTGTGTTTTCGTTGTTTATCTTTTGGCAGTGGTGTTATCTAGTTTTCTTTCACTTGTGGTTGCTCCTTGATGGCTTTTCTACATTTACACCGGTTTTCAATAAGGCAGTATTCACCACAGTGTTTAATTCAACATTATCATAAAAACAAAACAAAATAAATGTAAGCATGTCAGAGTCCCTATAATTATAATTACTAACCTCAACAGGAAGAAGTATCTGTAGTTTGGTGATAGTTTTGACATACGTTGGTGTGTCTGAAAACTGGGACAATGTAAGGACAGGACTTTTCAAATTAATACTAGCCATGCCTATCTCTCCTCTGGCAAGACCTCTTCCTTCTACAACAGCTGTGTGAAAAAAATTAATAATTTGCAATATACAAATGTATTTTCAACTTAAATATGCATGGACTATGGAGAATATTTACATAATATGAAAATAAGGAGATGTGGTATGATTGCCTATGATATAATTACAGAAAGAGTAGACAAAAGGTAGTGCATTACTATATTTTTTTTGCTTATTGGATTTTAATGTGTTGAATATAAAGCTGAAATGTTTGAACTTAGAAAAATTAAATGTCCCATGTTCTCCCAGTAAATTTATTCGTAATTGGTCCTTTGCATACCTTTGAAGTACTTTTGTGATAAGTTTTATCAATTCATTGTATGACAAATGTAAAATTGTACTAGAGAGGTCATACCAACAATAACAGATGAGTTGACATCCATTGGTGTTGTACTGGAGTATGGTGTCTTCCTCTTACTGCCAGGGGTTGTAATAGAGGTACTGCCTCTCCGACCTGGTGTGTATGATGAAGTA